ATTCTCAGCTTGTGAAGAAGTCTGAACATAAGCAAAACGCACCGTTTCACTTATTTTGTTTTGGGCTTAAGACAAACCTTGCTATCCACACACCACCTTAGGCCCACATGAGGATTTACACAGGATTTTGTTGCTATTTACCACAGACAATTTTCATTTTCCTTTAGTTTTCTGATTTTATTTTGTTGTTGGTTTGGGCTCATAGCGCGATTGTTAATGATACCCCCTCCTGGGCCCAACTCTGGCTAATAACTAGATAATCTTGCTATTTGACACGCCTGTTTGTCAATTTTCTTTTATTTTCTTTTATTTTCATGTTTTACATATGGTTAGAAATTAATTCATAATAAATTGAAAAATGATCATTTTAGGATGAGACTTTTTTCCCTAGTTCCCTTAGGATCTCTAGAATTTAATGAAACTAAAAAATATTAATTTTATACATTTTATATTTTCTGTCATATTTTACAATTTTAGTGCTTTTATTTTACTTTTGTTTGATACTTCATTTTTCTGAATTTAGTATGAGAGTTTGGTGAGGAATTTTGAGTTGATTCTTGTTGGATCAGTTAGATTAGGGAAGCATGTACCCTTAGGAATTTTTTCATATTTTTGTGATTAAAATTTAGGTTAGTTTGAGAGGTGAATAGGAGAGGTGTTAGAATTAGGGTTTTAACACAACTAGTTGTAGTTTAGAACATAGTTTGGGGACTTAGGGTTTGATTTAAGTTCTGGGATTTATATGGGGTATTGGGTATAGGGTTAGGTTCCCTTAGAAATTTACTTAGGATTTTATGATGAGTTTTAGCATTTTATTTGATTTTTGCAATTGGTGTGATGTTTGTGGGTTTTCCCCTTGGATGTTTGGTTTGGTTACTTTGCTTGGGCTGTCTTAATTGGGCCTTGGGCTTGGGTTTTGCTGGATGGAGTTGCTAAAGTCATTGAGGATGCTTGGAGATAAATCTTGGGGCTTGGTCATGAAGGTATTTCCTTGTGAAGATTGCTTTTGAAGTCTTAGGGATTAGGATATGTAGGAAGAGCTTTAGATTAGTCTTGTTTCTTCTTTCAAACATAGAGAGCTTCTTGTGCCTCTATCCTATCCTAGGATTCAAAGTCCTCTTAAGGAAGCCCATATCTCCCTTGGAGGGATGATTGACATGCCTCAAAGAGTAGAACTTTTAAGGATACTTTTCTTTGCAAATGTTGGTTTCTAGTGATTTCCTTTGGTTTTCACTGGTTCCCCTTCATTATAATTTGATCTTAATAATAAATCTTTCTTGATGGAGCTTGCTAGAGCTTGGGGATGAAGCTTGAATATGTTGAAGATGCCTTTCATGAGGGTTGCTTGAAGAGGGAGTTGTGTTACTATCAACTTTGCTATCAGGAGCTTGCTGGAGGATTGGAGCTAGGGTTTACTGTTGCTTTTGAGCTAGAGTTTTCTGCAGCTGTGGAGTTTAACTGTTTAGGTTTTGAGAAGCCTTATTTGAAGTGTGCTTTCTCTTCCCTGGAGGTTGGAGATTGAAGTTTTATTGAAGATTGAAGATGAAAGCTGTTGCTGTCAGAGCTGTGGTTTGCTGTAGGAGTTTGGTGCTTCTGCTTGGGCTGCCTCCTCTGCTTTGGGGTTTTTGTTTTCTGTATTGTTTGTTGGCTTGTACAGCTTGCCCCTTTAGGTTTTAAGTGAATGTTGATTCACTTTGCCTGTTGTTTTCCCAGGTTCGAGGTTGAGTGGGACTTCCTTGCCTCGCTTGTATTGCTGCATTGCATGCATTTTACTGTATTTGCTTGCTTTCTTTTCTGTTTATCCCCTAGGATCTCTGATTTCCTCTGTGCAGGAGGGAATTATGACAGACACTAGGATTCTTATCCGTGCATGACAACATTAGGTTAGTTTTGTTCCCTTCTCAACCCTAGGTTTTTTAGAGCTTCTTTCTCTTCTTATCTCAAAACAACTCAAAAACACAGTAATAAGGTTGATCGATGTCGTACGTTACGAGCCTTAAGCTATCTGGGAAAGGGTTGCTGGAGAGCTTCTTTCCAGTAGTCTGGCTGCTTAGTGTGACACCCTTTGGGTGACACGCGACGTAGTCACTCTCAAATCATAGTCTCTAGTGCGTCAGAGATTGCAAACAAACTAAAAAACCCTTCTTTCGTAAAAGATTCAAAACAAACATCAAAGTGTCATTTTTTGTCCGCTTGGACTCTTAATCAAGAAAAACCCTTTTCAGAAGGCAATGAAAAAAATCGTCAGACTAGTCTGTGTCTTCCGTAGCCCGAACTACGTTTGCTCTGATCTTTCATGCTATATGAAAGTACGTAGCCATAGGATGCCGTATCCTAGCGAGCAACCTTCCCCCTTAACCCGTAGGTAGGCGAACTACGTTGACTCTGATTTCTCGTTCCAGACAGGAATACGTAGGCATAAAGTGCGATACTTTGCCGAGTCATTTCCTTTTCTTTTTAACCCAGACCTGTAGAGTAGGTAGAATAACAATCCGTACCAGAAAACAAGCGTGGATCCCGTCGAGTACGGCGGACGTGAGGGGTGCTAATACCTTCCCCTTGCGTAATCGACTCCCGAATCCAGGAATTTGGTTGCGATGACCATTCCTTTCCCTCTTTGCGTTAGGTTTACTCTGAGCGTTTCCTTTCCCTCCGTTGGGATAAATAACGCACGGTGGCGACTCATCTGTTTAGCCGGCGCCGATTTTCGCAGTAGCGACACCCGACACTGAGGGATTTGGGCCTTGTTGGGTCTTCCCCAAATAACGTTGGACTGAGCCTGCCCGACAGATGGGCAGGTCTGGGCCCAGTCCATAATAGTTATAATTTTAGGAGTGATGTTCTAATTTTTTTTCAAAAACATATTTTTACAATACTTAAAATAATTGTAAATGATCATTATTTTTATTTTAGTTGATACTATATATTTTTTTCTTTTGTACAATTTAATCTTTAAAATAGTTTGCTAGTCAGACATTAAAACACAATAATACACATGTTTCAATATATTATTTCGATTTAAATGTGTATTTTATCTTTGAGAATATACAATTTTGTTTTGTTTTAGTTTATTTAAAATTGTGTGATTGACTTTGATATTATAAATATTTGTTGTTCTTTTATTTTAGTATTTACAAAAATGATTTATTTTGATTTTTATCTCTCTAATATTTATATTATTTCTCCCTCCAATTCATATTAGTGAGCTCAATTTTAATATGCAAAATTTGTAAGGAATAAAAAAAAAGAATAAAAAATAAAATGATATATTTATAAGTTTGTTTATTTTTTTATTTGCATTTTAAAATTTTGAAGATACTTATTATACACCTTACTTTTTTTATGTGATTAATAAGTTAGAAAAATCAAGAGTTTAAGAAAATTATTATTCAGTTAAAGTTTGAAAGAAAAGCTTATTATGTATGGGCTCTCTAATGCTGACCACCGATATGGACACATTCCTTGATCGACTCTTCTTCCTTGAAGACTCCGTTGTCTTCATCCAAACCCAACAATAGAAATTATTTGTGCAAGCTCTTCAAAATACATGTGACATATTAGTTTTTAATTTTTTCAAGCATTTTCTCAAAGGTAAGCGTGTCTTGATTAAGATTATTGAGGAGGCTTACAGAACAAACTCGAACGTGCAGAAATGATTTACATGGAATGTTGAACACTAGTAAAGGTAATATGCCACTAAAGGCATTGAAATTGTGTGACACACTCATGGAATTATGGAGTCAAATCACTAATTAGGATTTAACTTCTTTATAATGTGGCTATTTTGATTCTTCATTTAAATCAAAGGAGAATCTCAACAATATTTGGAGTGTAGGGACATGAAATATTAAATCTTCGCTCATGCGTTCGTCGACATGGACGCCAAACTTTAAACTTGAAAATTTAAAAATAACACATGCTCAAAATTAGCTGAGGGTGCATGGTCTTCCCTTTAGAGTATTGGGAACCAACTACTTTATTTGAAATTGCTTATGGTATCATCGCTCTTTTATAAATTGAATAACTTACAAGAAAAAGAACTTGAGCGCATTTTGCCAATAAACCATAACATTTCAGAAATTCTCAATTAACTTATTTTTGTGGAACAAGAGGCTCATGTCTTCTTTTTTGAATTATACATTGTAAGTGGCTTTGGTTTAGTTTATTTAATCTGAAACTCAAAGTCACTGAGAGGAGAGGGAGAGAGATGCATCTTGAAAGTCGGTTGCATGCTTGTTTCATGTGAATGTTGACAAGTTAGTATTTGTACACTATTACGCTATGCTAGTTGCTTTTAGTCCCACATCTTCTATATAGTTTTTTATTAAAGCGTTTATATACTACAGTTAAGTCATACTAGCTCGTCCCTTCGGGGACATCCGATAAAATTGGAACGATACAGAGAAGATTAGCATGGCCCCTGCGCAAGGATGACACGCACAAATCGAGAAATGGTCCAAATTTTTTTGGCATTTTCTTTCTCTGGTTAGGGTTTCTTTTTGGCTTTCTATTTGATTTTGCGTTTAGGAGCGTTTAGGTTTTGTTCGTTTCCTCTTCAATTTTGCGTTAAGGTTTTGTTCGTTTTCTCTTTGATTTTGCGTTTACGGTTTTGTTTTCCTTTCAATTTGAATGCAGGTAGGCGTTGTTGATGCCGATTTCGAAATTGGGGGTGTCTCCTCCTTCAACCAAGTATTATGTATAGTTAAATTCTTATTCTGATTTTGGTTATTATGTTAAGTTAAATTGTTATGTATACTCTTCTGTCTAATCAAATAGATAACATCATTCATAGCTTTCAATTCAATTCTGTGTTACACAAAACATCAAATTCACCATATACATAACATCATTGCTTTCAATTCAATTCTGTGTTAGCAGATTGCCAAATTGTGTTTCTATCTCATTCATATAACACATTTTTCACCCATTTTCCCAATCAATCAAAGGGAAAAGGAAAATATTTACAACATTCCTATATTCTACAAAATGTCAATACTGATCTATGTTAGTCTCTTGCAGTTGCTGATTTGTACACCATTGAAGCAACAAGTAATATGCAAGAAAACATGTTCCGTGCAAAGAATTGTCAGACCGCCCATTCGATGATCATAGCCGAATTCTTCCTCGGCTTCACTCAACAAGTTTTGAAATGAAGGTTGGTTCAAGTATGATGTGGGGATCACAAACCGCTTCATTTCCTCTCCCACGTACACCGCAAGATAGCCCTTTGGCACATTCGTGACTTTTGATAATGTTTGGCTATTGCTAAATGAAGCACGTCTAATAGCTGCAAGTAAACGGAAACCCATTTCAAATGTTTCAAATAACAAGCTAACGCTCTTCAAATTTAAGGGGAAAAACAAAGGTATCTATCTTTTGATGCTTGAGTAAGTGAGTGATTTGTGATGGATGTGAAGCAAAGTAGTGTATTTTTAGTCTTCATTCAAAAGTTTCTTCAAATCCACTTTGTTGAGAACTGATCCTTAAAGGACGGGGTCCATGAGATGAGAGATAACATGGTACTGTCTTTTAATGTCTCTCCAACAAGTTCAATAAGAGTGCTTATATACCCCACCTTCTCAACGAAAGGCTGGCAGATTAACCACTTGGAAGTCAAATGGCTACTCATATTTTTGTTGACATGTCACATGTTCTCTCCACATCGATAACGCGGTTCAATGCCGATATATATAGCTAGCCACCAATAATTCCTTGTTACCGTGTATTATAATCGTTAGTTGGCTACAAATCATTAATATTAGAAGGCTACAAGGAACACATATAGAGGGCTTGGTCGGTCATTAGTAATGGTGACCAGAAGAGAAGATAGATAGCAATTGAACAACACTTCAAAACAGATAAGTAAATGTTTGGACCCACAACTACCAGTAACAAAAATATGCTATTCTATTAGGTCAAATAGTGGTGGAGGCTGCCAGGAGCTTAAAGTAAAGGGTCGCCGCTAATTGAGCGCAGAGGAAGACCTTGCAATTGTCCTTTCTACCATCTTTGATAAACATCAAAGGAAAAATGCGACATAAGTTATTGGATCTCATGGAAGTTGGAATAGTTGGAGGAGCTTCCTTATTTATTGTAGCATAAATGTTGCTCTTCCTAGATGAATAAAGCTTAAGACACGTAAACATGTTCTGAGCTTAGATACAAGATAGCTTATCAGCTATTAGAGTTTGGGTGAATGTTTTATTAGGTTAAAGAAATTTGCAGGAATATTCGAGCTAGATTTTGCTTACAGCGTGTAGTACCCTTATGTCATTATTCTAATAAACTAAGATAAATTAGAAGCATAGGAGCCCATTAGGTTTTTGAATATATTGTGTCATTATGATTAGGAATAAATAATAACAAATAATCTCTTTCTGAATTTGTCATTCAGACGGACAATTCTAACCCATTCCAAGGATAGGAAAAGGAAAAAAAATTCATACAAATCTAAATAATGACTATTGTACAAAGTTTCTATGCTAATCTATGTCAGTCTCCTTTAGAGTAAAATTTATAGGCTGTTGAACTGAGAAGTAATGTCCAAGAAAACATCTTCTCTGCAAGGAATTGTAAGGCCACCCATTGAATGATCATATCCAAATTCTTCCTCTGCTTGACTCAACAGGTTTTGAAATAATGGTTGGTTCAAGTATGAAATGGGGATAACAAACCGCTTCATTTCCTCTCCGACATACACCGCAACATATCCCTTGGGCACATTTGATACTTTTGACGATGTTTTGATACTGCGATGTGAAGACCATCTAATAGCTGAAGGTAAAAGGAAACCCATTTCAAATGTTTTGAAGAAAAAAAGTTGAACTTCTTGATGTAAGGAAATTGTGTACGAGTTTGATTGCTTGAGTGATTTGTGATGGTTGTGAAGGAGGACACTATATTTATAGTTTCCAAGAGTTTCAATGATGAGGCCCATGAGATGAGAGATCACATGGTGCTGTCTTAGATCCCTCTGTCAAGGATCAATAAGTTCAATAAGAGTGTAAACCCCGCCTTCTGAATGAAAGGCTAATTTTAAGCCTACTAATTTCATTTCAGACATGCATCAGACATGGCACATGTTCTCTTCATATTGACAATACAGCTCAACGTTGATATATGACCTGAAGAATTATGAGAAAAATACCAGTCATACACTAAATATGAGTTGTGCATACTGTTTTGTTCACAAGAAATCACATGAAACTGTCTAGAGGTCTTTCTTAAAACTTGGCAGAGAGTTAAAGTTATGTCCCACATTACAAAGCTGTTTCAACTTTGAAAATGAAAGTCATACGCACAGGTAAGAAAACTTACTAATTTTTAAACCATTGCAATGACATTACTACTATTTTTCAGATAGGCTTAAAATGTCTCGAATTTACTTCAATAAATTCTGATGGTTATGTACCCTAGCATTTAGCAGACATAGATAGCAGTGTCTATGGTAATTTGGCTGACTAAACAGTTAGTGTAAAGATTTTTTCTAGTGTCAATCAATTGTAACCATTAGATGATTGAAAGTATTTGATTTTAACTATAACTATTTTCACACATATTTGAATGGTTGACGTTAGTGAAAAACTTATTACACCGACAGTACATAACAATTATTCTCAGAATAATTAGCTAGTAGGATAGGGCCCGGTATTTTTCAAACTCAAGCATCATAGCCATGAGTAAACATAGTAAGAGATAAGGTATTCAGTCATGAATAAAAGACCAACTGCAATGAGTTTCTAGCTCTTGCGAACTTTCCAATTGAGATTAGATTATTTGATACTTGAAATTCATGTTTTACAACCATTCTATTTGTAGATTATGTCTGGACCCGGATAAACTGGCAGAGGGAGACTTTCCACAGTTGAGTTAAGAAGTGGTAAATCTGAAATCTATTATTCAATGGGATTAGCTTCTGTTTTAGAATCTAATTAATTGTTCTCCGTTTATTCATGCAATTCAGCCCCTGAAACTTGTGATCTGCAATTTTTTGTCTAGTTAGTCTCTTTTCAGAGTAGTTGAAGAAAAAAGTGATAACATGAATTATCATGCTTCAGTGCAAAAATGAATCGCATTGCTTGTTAAAAGTAAAAAAAATCAAAATCAAATGGGTTCATGTAATTTGATGATTGAGTCTCAGGGGAGTTGGAATAGTTGAAGAAGCAGTTGAAAGAATCACAAGACATGTAAGAATGTAAGCTTAGATTCAAGATCGCTTGTTAACTATTAGAGTTTGGCTGAATGTTTTACTAGGTCAGAGAAATTTGCATGAAATCACCAGATTTGTAATTTATAATTCATAAAGAGAAGCATATAGGAGACTATTGAGTTGTATGATATTATGATTAGAAAACTAGTAAAAATAATCTCTTTCTGAATTTGTGGTTCAGATGGATAGTTCTAACCCATTCCAAAAGTAGGAAAAGGAAAAAAATCTTTACAAGTAAAAAATGATGACTTTTGTACAAAATGTTTGCTAATCTATGTTAGTATCCTTCATTGTAGGATCTATTGGCCGTCGAAGCAAGAAGTAATATGCAAGAAAACATCTTCGGTGCAAGGAATTGTGAGGCCACCCATTGGATGATCATATCCGTACTCTTCCTCCGCTTGACTCAACAAGTCTTGAAATGAAGATTGATTCAAGTATGACATGGGGATAACAAACCGCTTCATTTGCTCTCCAACGTACACCGCAAGATAGCCCTTTGGCACATTCGATGCTTTTGAGGATGTTAGCCTACTGCTAAATGAAGCCCGTCTAATAGCTGCAGGTAATCGGAAACCCATTTCAAATGTTTTGAAAAAGAAGCTGAATTTGTCAGATGTAAGAAAAATGTTTCAAAGTATGATTGCTTGAGTTATTTGTGATTGATGTGAAGGAGGACACTATATATATAGTTTCCAAAAGTTTTTTGAAATCCTTTCCGTAGAGATAAGAGATCACATGGGATTGTGAAGGATGAATAAGAGTCCAAACCCCACTTTGTGAATGAAAGGCTCATGTTAAACTCAATACTTGTACAATTCCTACTCATTTCTTTTCAGACATGCATCAGACATGGAACATGATGTTCTCTTCACATTGATCACACAATTATGAGAAATATCAGTCATAAATTGTTCTTGACTTAGTTCTTAGATGGCTCACAAAAGTTCACATGATAGTGTCTAGAGGTCTTTATTATGATCGTGTTTGAGACAGACTTGAAACATCTCTAATTTTCTTCAACAACTAATTTTGATACGTTTTATGTCCTGCCATTTTCTAATTTTGAATCTCTGTTAGTTTATTCCATATATTAATATAGGAGAATAAAGCAATGATTAGGTTCGATTGTTGGTGACTTGAAAAAGAGGATGGAAAAACAAGTTTTGTTTTCTTCATTATTCAATAGAAGAATTTATTCCACACCTCTTCTACATTTAACCCTCTACCCCAACCAACCATCAAATATGCTAATTCTACTCCTTTTGTTTTTTAATAATTATTTTACCCTTTTATTTTCTACTTTTACTTTTAAACATTTTTGAATTCACCATCTATTCACCTTAGAGTAGTTTTTTAGTACATGAAAGTTTCTTAGTTGTAAATTTTAACAATTTTTTTTAGTTGGTAAATAAGGTTATAACATCATTGCCTTAGTTGTAAATAAAAGTTAGGGTTAAATTTGGCATCTTTTAAGTTTAATTTCTATAAAAAATTTCTTCAAACTTTGGTCTTCATAAAGTTTTTCATCTCACAAAATGGTTCCTCCCGTTAGTTTTCACTAACGGAAGCTTATGTGTCATGCCACATATAATTGCAACTTTAATTACATGTGATCTGTGTTATTTCAATTCGCCAGCATGGAAAATGCAAATAAGAAAATCTTGTAAACGTTAGATAAGTCAAAGGAGGTCAGCTTGCCCTAGCAGAAGCTGCACAACAGTCAATGAAGAAGGAGTATTGATTTGCACAAGTCTGGGAAGAACGAACATTCATTCGCGCAATTCATAGAAGGAATTTGTTTGTTTGTTGTGGTCTCAAAGCGACATCTTTGGAGTGGTCCCAAAAAGAACATACTGAGAAGGAGAACAAGTGGTCATAGGTAAGATGCAACTGTCTCCTTTATGTTCTCTCATTTGAATATCATATGCTTTCCTTTCTCAGTGGTCCTTTTCCTTATTCAATTTGTTATTCTGTTGTATATTAAGTTTTTGTTCGCCCATTGTAGAAAAAATTAGGGTAAATCATTTTTACATTGAAATGGTAAAATTTAAACATAGATTAAATATTGTGTACATGAAATGGATAGTTTCAGGGTTGTTTTTTTACTCAAAGGGCCATTTCGTAAAAGACCCTAACATACGATATAAGGGAGGGGATGTTTATGCTTTTAATGATCAAGACCCTGATTATTGGTCTTTCTTTGAAGCATGTGACCTAATTAAGTTGATTGAACCTGAGTTTGATATAATTAGTGTTAAGATATGGTGGAAACATGAAGAAGGATAGTTTGAGCACGACTTAAAACCTTTTAAGGATGATGGTGACGCCTCTGAGTTAGTCATGTATGCTATAGAAAATAAGTCTGATATTGAGATATTTTGTGAGCCCAAAGTTGTAGGAGATGATACCTTTATGGATAGGTTTAGAGAAAGGGGAAAAGGAATCAAATGTGATGAAGATGTTGACAGGTTGGTTGAAGAAAATGATGATTCTAGTGATGAATATGTTAGAGGAGTTCACTTTGATGATAGTGGGGAGGAGAGGATAAAATGGTTTGATGAAGGTCTTGATGAAGTGTTTGATAATGGAGCTAAAGTAGAACAAAAAGGTGGAGTTGTTGCAAATGAAGAGGGCACTGCTCATGTAGATAAGAAGGTGTTTATAACTGAAGAGATGAGTAAGGAACATGTCATTAAGGATGCCTACATGACTGATGAGTTAGACAATTATGGTGATGATGACAACTGTGATGAAAGGCCCTGTGTAATCAGATTTAATCAAGAAGAATCTTTAAGAAAGGATTTTATTTTCAAGGTGGGAATAAAGTTTTCTTCTTTGAGGCATTTCAAAGATGCCATTTTGGAGCACAATGTTTTGAATGGTAGAGATGTTAAGTTTGAAAAAAAATGATGCTAACAGATGTAGAGTAGTTTGTAAGGATAAGAAAAAATGTGATTATACAGTGCTGTGTAGTAGAGTTTTAACATCCACCACATTTAGGATTAAGACTTTGTTTGCAAAGCACAAATGTGGAAGACAATTCTTCAACAAAAGTGCCAAAGCAGAGTGGGTGGCCAAGGTAATTGTTGATGGATTGAAGAATAACTCTAGGATGAGGTTAAGTGAGGTAGTAGCAAATGTCAGACAAAGGTATGCAACATAAATTCTAGGCTGCAGAACATTCAAGGCAAGACAGATGCAAGACACATTATTGAAGGAGATTTTAGCAAGCAATTTAGTCTTTTATGGTCCTATGCTGCTGTGTTAAGAAGAGCTTCAGTTGGGAACACCTTCAAGATCCACACTAGTGTTCCTAGTCCTGGCTTAAAACCAAGATTTGAGAGGTGCTATATGTGTTTTTATGGGACCAAGAATGCCTTAAAAAAGGCATGCATGCCATTTATTGGTCTAGATGGGTGCCATTTGAAACACAAGCATGGCGAGATTTTACTCATTGCTATTGGGAGAGAACAAAATGATCAATATTTGTCAATTGCCTTTGCTGTTGTTGAGACTGAATCAAAGAATTTGTTCTGGACTGGGCCGACGCTTAGCCCACTGCCTAGCAGGCCCAAAGCCCACTGGGGTTGGGGCCCATTTGAACCACGCTGACGAGCAAAAGACCCGTCGAGCACAACCTTCCTCCCCGTTGGGCACAAACCAACTGCTCCGGACAGGATCCTCGTGTCCGACCAGCCAGCCTCCTTCACCCCCATTGTCGGGCAAGACCATCGCATCCGACCAGACAACCCTGTCTGCCCGGGGGACTCCTTAGGGCTTCCCCCACATTCTCCACGTGTCCCTCACGCAGGGACACGTCATAAAGTAACTACCCACGTCCTGGAAATTCGGTCTTCCTCCTCCCGGATAGTGCGGAACAGTTACACTAGGGCGAAGACCACGTGCTGGTCTTCATGACGCCACGTCAGCCTTATCAGTTACTAACATTGGGCCTGGCAGCCCGACCCAGTGCTAAGTAACCGTTGGCCCTGCGCTGGGGGCTCACTATAAATACTCTCTTCACTAGAGGGTCAGTTAACTTAACTTTCTTACTCTCTCTCTGTACTTGCTTCCACTCTGCCCGTCACTTACTTTGGCATCGAAGTGTGTTTCAGGTACACCCCCTCCTCTTCAACACTTTGGTGAACAACTTCTAGATCGACGACGCGTGGCAGATCATCGATTCCCTTCTGGTCAGGTACGATCAGGATTTATGGAGTTGGTTTCTAAAATTGCTTATTAAAAACATAGGAGATGGCAGATGGTGTTTCACCTCTGACCAACAAAAAGTAAGTTGTACTTTCATCAATATTTGCCATATGATAATTTTCAATCAATTGAATGTACTAATGCAAATAAGGGTTTCTTGGTTTAGGGTCTTGTTCAGGTTTTTGAAGAGGAGTATCCTGCATATGAACATAGGTTCTGTTTAAGGCACTTGTATGCTAACTTCTAAAAAATGTTTGGAGGAACCTTGTTTAGAGACCTTATAATGGTTGTAGCAAAAACAACTTAGTTTGAGGCACATGAGGCTAGGATGCTCATGATCAAGGATGTCAACTTGGAGGCTTATGAGTGGTTAGAGTCAATTCCCAAAATAAAATGTTGTAAGCATGCTTTTCCCTTTTTCTCAAAGTGTGACGTCTTGATGAATAATTTAAGCGAGTCTTTCAATGCAACCATTCTATTACAAAGAGACAAACCAATCATTACAATGTTTGAGTGGATTAGGAATTACCTAATGGGGAGGTTTGCCACACTTAGAGAAAAGGTAGAAAATTATAAAGGGCAAATAATGGCAAAACTCTTAAGGAAGCTAGATAGAGAGATTGAAAAAGTGCTAGTTGGACAGCAACCTATGCTGGTAGGTTAACCTTTCAAGTCACGCATGTTTTGTTCACTGATAGTTTTGTAGTGGATTTAGAGAAACAATCATGTTCATGCAACTTTTGGGATCTTGTTGGGATTCCTTATAGACATGGTGTGACTGCCATTTATAGGAAAGTGGAAGACCCTGTGAAATATGTGCATAAGTGTTATCACAAAAGCACTTATGAAAAATGTTATAGTGAAGTTATCACCCCTTTGAATGGCCAAAGAAAATGGCCAAAAACATCAGATGAAACCATGCTTCCCCCTATGTTCCAACGTGGCCCAGGTAGGCCCAAGAAACTTAGAAGGAGAGAGCGAGATGAAGTGAACCAGACAAAGTGGAAAATGACCAATACAAGCCATATGTGCAAGGCTTGTTATGGAATAGGTCACCACAAAAGGACCTACGAGAAGAATGAGCAGATTACGGTTGGTTGTTCCCTATGGTAACACCACCGAGGCCACTCAATACTTGCCCACCCAGGCCACTCAAGACATGCCAAACCAAGCCACTCAAGACTTACCTACGCAAGCAAGTCAGACTAGCAAGGTTAATTTGGCACGAAAAAAGGGTATTGTTTAACTTAAATTTGACATTTAATGATTATTTATCTATGTATTTTGTGCAATGGTATCAATGTGAATTATTTGTTTGTTTTGTGCAGGGGAGGCCTAATGGATTAACCACCAACTGTACATCTAAGGG